TTGCAGGACAAAATGCTGGGACTAGGGGTATATGAGTGGGCTTACATAAGCTTCTTTTGCCGTGTATATAACCTTTTATTCAAAGTTATGTTGAAATGAAGTTGGAGACTTTTGACAAATTTTTTAAATAACCTGAAGGTAAACGATTTGATTTGACTGAAGCTCAAAGAACTTACCTTTTTCTTTGTAATGAATTATTTTTCGCTATAGGTGATTACTTCCAGGATCTGTTATAAGTTTGTGAATGCAAAAACCAGTGGTCAAATAAATGGTAATTTTTTGAAATAATAATAATGCTTTTGTCTGTTTCGTTCCTAAATAACGCGTAAGCTTAATGTATAGTTTACAAAAAATATATTCCTACATGACTAACATTTAATGAGGCCTGTTTTACGTTACCTTCAAGGTAAAATATATGGACGCTTACTGTATCTTGTGCAAAAAACTTCACAAACTATCTAAACGTTAACTCAAACTTAGCCTCACGTGCAGCTGAATAATTTCGGACAAACTTTTCCGATTCTGGAAGGGATATGTTTTACAAAGGTTTGGTTCTGTCATATTTAGTAACATGGGAAATTTCTTGGATATGAGGCGATTTCCAATTTCGCCAAACTTAGTGCACACTACCCTGAACAAACCTAACTAAAAAGGTGATTTTCCTAACCAAACTGAATTCGCAGGATTAAATCTACTCAGAGGATCAAAATAACCTGACCAACTATATGCTAAACAACCAAGTTAAATTTAGTCATTAAAGTTGCCTACGGGACTCGCCATACAGTATTCTGCATTTAGCTATGCATCAAGGCCGGATTTTTATGGTATGAAAATGAAAGATTATGATTCGCAATTTAAAGAAAAGATAGTAATTACAATAAAATAACCAGATATTTTGAAAAGCGCTGATATTTGTATTAGCAAAATAGTTATTTTTGCAAAACTTAATCAAATGTCTGTTGGTTGTCTACATTAGAAGCAACAGTAAAAATGGAAATTCGATTATCAGAACCAATCGTTCCTTGAACAATGCCTAAAGCAGAAGGTAGATAGTAGATGACGATCCCCTATTTAATTGCTTACATTTTACTAACTTGTGAAGTTTGTATTCTTGCGGTCTTTTGGAGCAGAGCATCTTGATTGCCTTTATTCCGGGTGTCAGTGAACTCTTAGTTTTGAGTACATTTTTACGTATATAGCAACATTTTGCGATTTTGAGCTCTGCTCTCTCATAACTTGTCGATAAGAATCGTCGACTCGATATTAACGAAGCGTTTCTGGTTGTCTACCGGAGACCAGACTTCGTTTCTAATGGCCTACGTTAACCGAAACAGTGGCCAGTCGGCAAGCAAATCCAATGCTGTGTCATCAGCCTAAGAAATGAAGCATTTAAACAACTTGGGAAACATTATACACCCAATGAAATGCTTCCCAATTGGCTCATTTTTGGTAAAAATATTTAAACCGTAAGCATCAGCCATAAAGGATGAGCTTCACTTAACCCATGCTCCCAATGAAATCAGTCAGTCAGCTAGTAAATCCAATGCTGTGTCATCAGAAGACTTTAATAGAGGCACTTTAATTTTCATGATTAAGGCCGACGCCAGGTGGCGATCGCATATCGCCCCTTACCCTTGGTGACAATTGTTCCCTCCGTGCAGGCGATATCGATTTTTCACTCAGCGTACTCGAGCCATGACCAATACTCACAGCCTATTCTATTTTCCCCCTCCGTCAGTGCAGTGAACTCTAAATATTGATCTGGCCATGCAGAAGGTATGAAAACAACGTTTATAAAAACCTTCCACCGCTCGTATTTTCATTATCGATGCAATTGTACAGGCTCGAATAAGAATCGCCGAAAAGATATTTTCTTTAATGGGCTTTTCGAGTTAATGATGAGAGTATTTACAGAAGTTAGAAAAATTGACCTTGATTTTCCAAAAGTTGAGTAACAGAAAGATAAACTGGCTACAGAATAATATACAAATACGAGAGGGACCGTAAATTGGGAAGAAACGTTTACAATGTCACAAAACGACTTTGCCTCATCGAAAACGTTTGCGTCAATCTCCAGTTATTCCCTATCCAATGATTTGATACTTAACGTCTTATGAATCTGTTTCGAAGACCTATTTATTAATGAGTGCGAATATTTCCTTTTTAAAACCCCGCAAGTTCCTAATCTTACTCACAAAATTCTCGACATTTTTGTAATATACTTCGGTCGACGTCGTGGGTTTGGTTTAGCATAAGGAAAATAATAGAAAGAAGAGAGTAAAAAAACTCACTTGCTCAAAACGCATGCAAGATACAGAATGTCATTCAAATAGCCAGAATAAATGGCTGAACTTATTCTTTTGTTTTGTGCAAAAAAACATAAATGTATTTACTACGTCTACGTTCGTCAATTTGGCTGCTCATTGACTGTATTAGGCATGTAAAAAATTGGTATAACAGTCCGATTATCTAAAAATGCAGCTGCATCTTTCGCTAAGGAGGGTGTTTTAATAATTACTGAATTGCTATTCCCAATGCAATTTTGGGTACTTTGAGCATCCTTAGAAGTGTGTTGAAAGAGAGTAGGGCGAGAGTCCGAGAGATTGGCACCAGAGTCAACGACAAACCGTTGCGGTGAATCCGAAGAATGCCCGGACAAATGCTGCTGGTGATTTGTATTCTGTCCTCCAATGCCTCCAAGATCTAGGAAGTCAAGCAGCAGGTCGACAAGTTCAAACAGCGTTATCAAACTGGCACCGATCCACAGACCGACACAACCCCCGATGTCACTCAGCAGGCGGCTGAAGGGATATTCTTCGGTTTCTTCAACTCGATCCATGAAAAGACTGGCTGGCACAACGCGAAGCATCATAAAATTCCTGTTAACAAAGTCAATATTCAACAGGTCAATCTGCCGCTGATTGACTGCTTCTGCAAGTGTCCAGTTCCCACCACCGTCGCGGCTGGCATTCTTTAAAGCCAGTTTGGCCAAGTCCGACTTTCCGCCGTAGTGGTTGCGTTCACGAGCTTCCAGTCTTGCCAACAGCTGTAGCCAATGCAGTTCCGTGTGACGGTCCTCTATGGCGGGGAACTTGGTATGTGCAATGACCTGGTCGATGGTATAGTGTTCACAAACATCCAGAAAACAGTGCTTTCTGTCGACGGAGGCCGTAGCATTGTTAAAGCAATTTTCCAGGAAGGTGGGGTCAAGAGCGCCAGAGAAGCAGAAAGGTTGATAATGGTACTCGTACATGATGGGCATTGTATGCATCTGACAACCGCAGTATTTGGCCAGAGCCGACTGAACCTCGGCATCTAGGCAGTCAGATTGACTGGATAGGAAGGTCTGTGACTCGTTTTTGGCCACATTCACATAGGAAATCCGGCTTCGAATGGGAATGCATTTGCCCAGCTTTGCCAGATGCGTAACCGAGGTCATTTTAAGCTCCACCTGCGTGCACTCATCGACAATTCCGCTGTGGCCAATGTGAGGGTAGGTACCGGGTTCATGTATCATCAGAAGGACACCCGGGGGCACCTGGAAACTGTCATGTGGATCGAAGCGATAACCTTCGGGAAATTCAAGAGCCTTGTAGACAATGACACGAAGATCCGGTCGAAATCGGTTATAGCGCGTGCGTGTGGATATTTCGCGTGTCATGTTGTGAGGCATTCGTGTGGCATTGAAAGTGTAGCAAGCGCCGTAGGGCCAGATGATTTTCTCGTCAAAGTGCTCACTGGAGCAGGGCGTTTGCATGTAGGAGCATTCAACGATAGTAAGCCATTTGGGGTGTACATAGTAGGTATTTCGCTTAATGAACAAGTAATCTGCGAGGGCAAGCCGCTGCGCGAAAGGATTAGGACCCCGCTTAAAGTCTTCAAATTCACGAATGTTCTCCTTGATCCGCTCAAACTCCGGGGTTCCATTTGGAGGAAAGTGGATGGGATTAACGTTGCAGAATGTCACATCGGGAAAGATAAAGTTGTCCGAGTCATGTAAAACATTTGTCAGTACGGGCATTTGGAGGTACTTTTCCATAAGGAAAAAGAGATTAAAAAAGAAACCGAATGAAGAGGCAAGAGATATACACAACCAAAAGAGCCGTCGCTGCGCAGTCCTTGCTTGCGCCAAGTGGTTTAAGCCATGCATGGTACTGCGTCGGGAAAATCGGAGACAACTAGCACCAAGGGCCGCAACTAGATAGATGGCAGAAGGTTTGGATGGACGTCTGAAAGATCCTCCTGGGGGAGCGTCTTTTTCACTGAGCGGTGTAACATGAGGGAAATCCAGCTTATGCCTTTCACTGTAATTTTCGAGGATCGAGGCAGACGCGACAGGTGCTTGAGGTGGTGCGGGAAAGGTGGAAAGCCTTTCAATCTCTTTTAATTCCATTTTCTAACTGTTGTCTTTCATCGAGTCTCATATACCTAAATTTGCAGTGGAACTTAAGCTGTATTATCCGAAAGGGGCAAAGTATTTTGTAATGAACCAATAAAAATCCAGCAATACTCTCTCTGTGATTGGTCCAGTGCGAACCAATTACAGTGGTGAAGTGATCTGCATCCGGGTTCAGTGGCAGTTTTCAACAAAATTTGTCTTGTCTTATTTCATTTTAGTGGACAATTTTGCGATAGCAGTTAAATAAGACAACGTAATAATTGCGCTGGAGTTTGATAGTGTGAATGAGAGAAAAGATATATGTTTTCAAATTAAGCATTGACTCTCTTAAAATTCACATGATCTCTCGTCTAGGCATCATTCATTTTAAGAGACAAGAGGTAGTTATTATATATGATGTCCGATTGCCTTCATTAAATACTTTGATTAATATTTATAGTGGCTACAGGGCTGTCTATGACCTAGCTCGAGTTTGAAGAAAAACATAAGTGTTGTCACATATCTACGAAGAGTACAGCTTGGTCAAGAACGCTTGTGTATGAGAGAGTATACTAGGTATTCTACTGGATAGGTTTGAACAACCTAGGTCATGATCCGTGGGTTTGAGTCAACGTTTAAACCATATATTATCAAATTAATTTTGTAAACATACCTCTCCGTGTACCCATCGCTGACCCGTAAATTGACATAAGTAACGAAGAGATTGTGGAAATTGAACATGTTTAGTCAATCGGTCGCAAAGCTAAGGAAAGATGTTGGAGTCAGGGTTGTCTAGGCTTGCCAAAAGAGAAAAACATACGCTAGTATTTCGATATCAGGAAGGCAGGATGTCAGAAAGATGGGTGTGTTTCCTTGCCGTACTTTAGAGTAGGAATATGTAGGACTCCGTTTTGGACAGAGTATTCATATACATAGTTTAAAATAACCTCTTTTTCCAAAATACGATGGGGTTAGCTAACCCGGTGGCCGCCGCCACAGCAATTGTAAAATATCCCCGCACTCAGCAATTTGGAGTGTCTCGTCGGCATTTTGCGCACGACTCAAAATATCGGACGGTGCCTGTCAACCACTTGGACCAGGACTGCACGAAAGAAGGAAGTGTCCCCGTGTTGATTTAACCCAAGAAGATGGCGCCATCAGCTTCGCTTGTACTGGCGGCCAGCGGTTCTACTTATATCACCCACGCCGCAGAAAAGTTAAGTAGTACAGTTACAGTTCGTCCAAACCTCCGAGGCGAGCAATGGAAATACCTTTAGAAAATAAATGTTCAATTTGCCGCAGGTTAGGTACGCGGCGGATCCTCTAGAAACTGAAATGAAATAAAAGTATGTTTTATTTTGACCCAGGCACGTCGGTTTCTAATTGAGTTTCTTATATCTGTAGTTCAGGATGAAATCTCGTAGCAATAGTTTTCTTTTTATATGCTTTAATCAGAAGAATATCTGACAAGCATACATATCGTTCGATAATTTCTCCTCGGCCATAACATTTGTATAGGGAGGGGGTAAAAGTGGAATGCTGGCAATTATGTTCATCCTTACAGGCAAATTAGTCATGAGAATAGGAGAGGGGTAGGGTGGGGTTGATAGTACTCGGTTGGTTGTGAGGCGTTGAGAATTTGTTGAAACCGGACTGGGGGGAGGGTGGAAGAGGGAGAAAGCGCGGAGATGCAGGCAATTATGTTACCGCTAGTCGTGCCAAGCTCGGGGCTTGCAAGAGGTTCTTTTGCGCGCACCCCATTACAAATAAGAGTGCGAGATTTAATTAGTCTAGGCAAAGCACGCTTCTATGGCTTCAGTCTAAAAGTTTATAAGAGTATTGTAGCATGCTGCATCTGTTTTAACAGAATAATCAGCTGTCTGCCTGTAAATGCTACAGTAGTGTGTAAGCGTAAGGGGAAATTGATTTGTCGTACAGTTGCCACACGTGCTTTGCTAATTTATTTATATCTGTATGACAGCTGCGAGAGGTTAGATTCCCTGAAGGGTCATTCCTCTTTCCTGTCAACTACCCTTTCAATACGTGTCCTTACAACAGGTTTGGTTTTGGTGACCTCTTCAGCCTAAAAATAAGGCAGAGGAACCGTCGTTACCATAATGGAGAACAGAAAAAAAACTAGGTTTGTTTTAACAGCATTGCATCGTATTTTTCTTTTTGAAGGCTTTTTAGTTATCATATTGGACGACTATGATTTTTTTAAATTACGTCTTGGGAAATGAACTGCAAATAACAGTTTAAAGTAGGAGTAATCTGATCAAATGATCCCATGGGTAAACTGATAATCAATCGATTCATCCAAAATAGCCATAGATTTTAAAATTAGCCATAAGTGATACTTTAAAAACCAGTGAAATTTGTACAATGTACTATTTTCGTGACGATATTAAAAACGTTCTTCAGTTGACAAATTGGCCCCTCTAACTCTGAACACACTGAGTTCAGGTAATATTTTAATGATTAATTTAACTACTGACTTAGCCAATAAACACCATATTTAAGTAATCACAGCTTCTCTTCCTGTATGCGTAGTCAGTGTCCGACGACGGATCGTATGTCTTCATTTTCAGTATGTAACCCTTAAATTAGCGAAAATCCCAAGGCAACTAAGCGGACTAAATTGTATGATAATATCCATTGCAACTTTCCATCTATGCACTCTTTCTTGGACTTCTTGGATGAGCAATTTTATTTCAGGCATAAATTACTCAGTTAGGCAAAACCTCTTGCAAAATAGCCAAGCATATCAGTCACGGTAAACACCTAATATTGCATGGAGTAAAATCACTATCTTACAGATTCCAAGATCAATGTGCAAGTTTATAAACACGCCGATATTTATTACTCGACCCTTTGTAACTGTGCAGTGGGTCACTAGTGGCGATTTTTAAACAAAATGTCAGAGCATGCGTCACCCTGTCATCAAAACTGTCTGGCTGACGTCACTCTCACGGACATTTAAATGCCCCTTATTGCCATTAACTTCTAGTGAGCCATTTGCTTAAAATTCTCGATCTTTAAATGCAATAAAAACCTCACTGAGAGTTCGGATATGAGGTATTTAGTCTTGGAATTAGAATACGGTGTAGCTAGAAGCAAAAAAGTTTTATTTAATTTCTTTTGTTTTTCTATGGTATGTTTCCTGGTTACTCATTCATCGAACATTTTTAATCAGCGACGAAATGGCCGCATCAGAGCCCACGACCTAAATAAAGGAACTTTAGGCAAGTTCTATAAATGGGCATATTAATTTTTATTTCCTAAACATCTTCGGTTGAAATTCAAATGCTGCTTCCGATAACCGTGGCGAAAAGAAAATGTTAGACCATTTTGGTGTTCTAACATTCTCGTCTCAACATTATTTTAAGACATTGTCCTAACTGCAGTATTCCTGGATACGCCTTATGCCTACGCAGCTCTATTGAATGCAACCCAGCTGAAGGAAATGCAGATCATGAATAAGTGGACTACTTAGTAGGTCTTACAAGAACTCGACCACAACCATAATGACGACTTCCGCAGTTGTGCAAAGGAAGTCCTTAAAAGGAAACAAGAGCAATTCTTTTAAGATATTAACTTTAAACCCCCTCCCTTTAAGCGAAGAATGATGACATCTCGTAGTTGTGGCAATGTCTGGTGTGTCAATCAAAAAAATTCCCCTATTATCTTTTGTGTTTTGAAGCATCGCCCTGCCCTACTTTTGCGTGCAGATCTGTCTGACCTCCTTTTTTCCCTCTTGTCTCTAAGCAGCGCAGTCTGTTCGTGTTTCGGTTTTGCTTATTTGCTTTTCACCTGTCTGTCAGCCATTTATTTCGTCAGAAAATTGGAAATTACGATCAGGATCATAGGAAACATCGCTTAGTTAATTTTGAGAGCGCGCAGTAAGTGCACGGATAATATGGTCCCCCCTGCATAGGGTCCGGTTATCTTCGGCAGGGATCACGTTATGATGTTGCGTGTTTTCTTTTTCAATTAATTCTGCTACACGTTCTGTCCCGAAGTAATTAAGCACATTAAAAAATTTATGATAAGGATTAATCAAACCTTTTATAGGAAAGTGCAATTTTTGCGAAACAGATTTGATCTTAATGCATTTTTGTTCTGCCCTCAAAAAATGCAAAACCTCGTAGGTTTCCATATGGATGGCACGTTTTAGAAATAGATACTGACAATAGAATACAGCTGTGTCAGTTGCAATGTCTTCCTTCGTAGACATTGGGCCAATTGGTGCATTTTTTGCATATAGCTACACACAACAACGTAAGACCAAGTCGGAGACAGTGTACAAGCGGAAAGCTGTAAGTTTAACAATATTTTTTGAATTTTCGTTTCTGATTTTTGAATTAAAAACCAGATTCATTATTTATAAGGTGGCAGTGCGATGCAGATAATGGAGAACTCAAGGTTTTTTTTGGCACACGAGCGCCTACAGTAGGCATTATGTACATTAACTTTGCTATTATCATACGACTTTGTTGCACTACACACGAAACCTGATATCGTTCGGAACAAAGGCAAAACTTAAATCAAACTGTTTAAACTGTCAAGTTTGAACGTGGCATTTTGCCAATTTTCACTTGCCTATGCGAAGAAGACAACGTCGTCTTTGCAGTGGTTTAGATTGCTCAGTTATACTTAAATGTGTGTGAACGTTGCTCAGTTCAAGTAGGAAGGAAATTTTTAGCCAATTTCAAAAAAACGTCTACGTTTCTAACTGCATTGGGTTATTTGCGGGATTTTCCCTAAAATCTCATAAGGAGGCGGAAGGCACCGATTGCAAATTTACTAGAAATCGTGTAATTTAACTTTACAGCACACTGATACTACTTTACTTAAAGAGGACCATGACAATACAGATGTTGTTGGGCACGTCTAAATTCGGCGTTTTCTTTAAATGTCGAGATAGAGAAATCTTTGCATTTAAAGGAAAAATTTTATTTTTGCAATTAGTAACAAATCCGTGAATTTAGGAGACCACACAGTTATTTTATAACCGA